GGAGCTATGGCAGTTACACAGACAAGCACGTGCGCACGCGAGGGTGTGCACCTGGGTTTATTACTTATCCACATGGGCACACGCGCATTTTTTGTGATGCAAGCTAGAAAATGATATGTGAGCACTGTAGTTCCAAAAGCAAAGAACCTAGAAACCTGAAATTTTGCACCCATACTAAGTGGACTCTGGGGGTGTGCATTATGTATTTTTACTTATCTAGATGCGTGCGCGCATGTGCATCTTTTTCTGAGGCAAGCTAGCGAAAAATCACATAAATAATAGAAGGGCGTGCACATCTTTTTAATGAGGCACGCCCTTTTATTATTATAGATTATTTGAACAAAAGGATTCTATTATAAAAAAAATAAGATAGATCGTACCACTTTATTTCGTGAACCTCTGTATTGAATCTATCATTCTAGCGGCGAGTAAGTGATTTTACAAAACATGGGGAAAAAAGATTTACAGAAGGAGAAGTAATGTTTGGTGTTCAGTAACGAACTGTACAAACGCCCGTGGAAAGAAACTGAAATTATTGTTTTTCAGAACGATCCACCCAGGTGTGTACTCCAAGTTCTCTTGAGATCTGAACTTTTCATTTAATCGGTTTACTATTTACGTGACGAACAATTTTTACTTTAAAATCTTAAATGTAGGCTATTTCATTTTAATATTCAATAAATACGACAATTTATTTAATGTAGAACTGCCAAATGGGTTCAGTATCAATAAAGACAAGATTTGATTGGAAAAAACTCATATTATTTGTACAATAACTGCCGGTTATGTTCTGAGCATTTCGAAGACAGCCAGTTTGTGAATGTCAAATCTAAGAATAAGTTAATTAATTAATAAATAAATGTGCCAAATCATTCACGAAAGAAAGGGATGCCATAAAAAAAGACAGAAACGTTCTTTTAACGTTAAAGGAGTTGTTTTTTTCCTAAAAGAAGAAAACACAGTTTGATGCTGAATATAGAATAATACACTGTGCAGATATTTTTATAAACGTACAATTAATATCAGCATAGAACTTATGTCTTTTTTTGTTTTAATTATTTACTTTATGAAATCAAATTTGAAGACTACGTGTAAACCTTGTTATGCTACTTCATCCCAAGATTTGTTTCGTAATTTCAATGAACAGAGATCATAGGTATTGTCAGGTACCATCTTCTTCTAGACAAAGTGATACACTTTTTGAGTTGATTGGCTTTATCGAATCTTCTGACATAGCTAGAGCTTCCGATGCATGTACTCAACGGTTTACAAATACGGTAGTTCTTGAAATCAAAAACAGGAACTTTAATAAATTTGAAATTTAAACAAAAAGTAACAACGGATACTACGAGATATTATTTAGGAAGTACATATATATATATGTATTCAATGGATAAAGCATTGCATAACACGAGTCTGGTTTTCTAGCTTAAAGTGCTTAGGATTTATTTTGAAAAATTCATTGGCTTTCTTTGCCTATAGCGACGCTAGTTGTTTGTATATTTATTTCAAGTTTTACATTTTCTCGAAAACAAAATTCTAGTAGTAGTTACTGCACCAATGACAGATATTTATTTTAGTGTTATTTTATTTTACAAATTACCAAGTTATAAAACGAATTCAATGTCATTCGGATATCAAAATCTGCCATGGTCCAAATTATCAAAGCTATTCAGCTGTTCTCGAAATTTCAGATAGTTCTTGTTTAAGTTATTGAAAACCGACTGAATGAAATGGGAGTTATTGGACTAACGAACAAAAAAAGAGCATTTACATTTTCAAGAGCTCAATGGTATATGAAATACTAGGTAAAGTGTTTGAATTTTTATTTTATAAATTTCTCAAAAGCACTGAATTAAATGGTGTTTCATTTGATTAAGTGAAAAGTTAGAACACTCAATAACTCAAAAAATAGTGTTATATGTATTAAGGGAACGACTATAACTAGCATTTTAGCTTATTATATGCATTCTGATGAGGATAGTGGTTTCGAGGACCTTGGAAGTTAGGGAGGAAAACATAAAAAAAATGCACTAGTAGTAATGGTTAAAGATTTGTTTCTGAAACGGAAACAAATTATAGTTATTATTATTTGCTAATAATGTTGTGCTTTATAGTAAATTGGGAGAAATTATTGAGGAGACCATACACAAAGCCCCCCAGTGGCACAGCGGTATGTCTGCGGACTTACAACGCTAGAATCCGTGTTTCGATACCCGTGGTGGGCAGAGCACATATAGCCAATTATGTAGCTTTGTGCTTAATTACAAACAAACAAACAAACCATACACAAATTACACTGTATTGGCTTAAGGGTAAAGGTGGTGTTTGGTAACCAAGAATAAAACTTTCGGTGTGACTTTTCAATCTTAGGGATACAGGGTTCTAGTTAACACGAACACCGGGGTCCCGTACGCACGATAATTTATCGGGACGTATGAGATTTGACCCTTCGGGTGCCGAATACGGACCACAAAATGCCTCATACGCAAGGCAAACACAAGTACTTTGTACCATAACAAACTAATAGCACGCAGTTTGCACATAGCTGTCCACAATCAACTTCTAACAGGTTTCATGTAAAAATTACAATTTTGTAGGTCAACTAAAGTAAGATAAATAATAATGTTAATAATAATAATTTTTGTGAGGTACGCTCGCAAGCAGTTTGTGCGTTATGCAATTCGATACCGTAATGTGACCTGTATGTTCGCCACCTGATTTGCAATTTATATGGTGCGAATAATAGTTAGACACGTTTCAAAGGGCAATAAAACCATAATAATTAAGTAGAAATAGATGCATATTGTTACAAGCTCTATGCTGCTTAGGATAAACAATTGTGGTTTTTATACCAAGGTTCATACAGGTATCTGATAAATTCTAAAAATATTTCATTGGATTTTCAATTCTATTAATATTTTCTCATTAAAAGATATTAAGAAAAATATCAAACATTTATATTTTTTGTGATGCAGTTAAATGGTTAGATATTGTCACATTTGTTATTATTAAACATACCATTGTTAATTAAATGAATGTAAACTGACCCTTTCAGTATTTCAATCATTGCTAAAATAATTGATTGAAAATGATAGTTTTAAAGTTCATACTGATAGTCGCCTAAGTCAAGACGGTTAAAAAAAAAACTGTTTTGTGTTATTTGGCAGAAGGATGGCACTGTAATAACCTAGATCCAAAAGTTTCATTTCACATTCAGATAAGTAATGGTTAACGACTTAATCGAACTTAACAAAAATGAAATATCCAACGTGAAGGGGATTACATCTTAATTATGCAAATATAAGAAATGTTTACTCTTCGCAAAACTTCTCATGTGCAGAACGATACATTTGATATTTCTAACCAGTGTGTTGTTAGATGTAATTCATTGTCCTATTTCT